CAAAACCGTCAGAAGTAATATTGTGATTTTTTATTGTAACATTTGTTCATAGACCTTAGTTGTTACGCTGGTTATATGTTGGTGTTAGAATAAAGAATTATCGAGTCGCCAATCGGTGTTTTGGTTTTTGCGTCCGTTACCACTAAGCGTATCTGAAAGGCTTCGAGGGATAGCGAGAGGCCCGGAGTAGCAAGACCTGGGCATTAACGGTTTTGCGAAGTGATTGACAGTTTCTGAAGAATTGGTGACGGTTGGTGGCAGTTTGTTACATTTTGGATAGTCTCCGTCAATCTTTCCCGGTGCCGGCCAAGACTTCGTTGGACAAGTGTTATCTGGAAAATTCTGGATTGTTTGATCAACTTCAGTAATGCCTGGGTCAAAGAAAGGACAAACCGTCTCCGAAGCAGACAGGAAAGCAAGTAACGCTGAGTTGCTTGTTAATTGTAATGATGTGTGTGGTGTTAAAAATGATAAGATTGATATCCATGTTTCGCCGTCAGGGGTAATAGAAATTTCAAAATATCTAAATTTGAGCCTCGGTGTTTTGACGGAAACCCAGCTGATTATTTACAGTTTGTACAGCAGTTTGAGATCATGTTGAGTGGCTTTTTATTAAATGATGAAATGAAGTTAATCTTTTTGATGAGGTATTGCACTGGAGTTGCTTCAAGAGCTATAAAGTGCTGAAAGTTTATGCCCCCCAAACGAAGGATATACTGAGGCAATGCGTCGGGATGATGGGGCAAATACCACTTCCCTCGCTCACTTTGATCGACTAGTCTTTCAACGTAACCCTTCATTATATGTTTATCGACGACATCCTTATATTTGGACCAGAGTTCTGCATCTGACAGAAATTTCTTCTGTAAACCCATTAGTCTCTTAAGAGCAACTTTCCTATTACAAACCAACTGTCTATCTTTGAATCTCCGTGGTAGGCCAACGCTGAAGCGCCCGTTTTTGTATTTACAAGACTCCTCGGCTATTTTAACTGCTTTCAAGTCTTCTACAGAACGACCCTTCCCTGGGACACCGCAGTCACAAAACTCCTTGTCATACATATTTTTAATCATAGTTTCTAGTTTGTCCCCATCGTTTGCAACTAATGATGATATGGGGACTATGGGCATAGGTCCTCTCACTGTCCATCCCAGTGGTGTTTTCGTCGCGAACAGATCATCTCTACCTCCGAATCTCTCTTCTAATACCTTGTGAGCTTCTGGCACACTACATCCAATGAGTACTCTCACTCTTCCATCTTGCAGTGTTGGAAGAGGTTTGTCACACAGGTATGGCTTACCGACAACCGTTTCACGACTAGGTACTATAGCTTCGCCAAGTTTCATACTGGAGGTAGTGTAAACAGTATCCACTTCCACGGTCTCCCCAGTAGCCAAGGATTCTAACTGAAACGACACTCGCTCACATACTACTGTTTTAGCAGAATTGAAAGTATATACAACCAAGGGTTGCTTTGGGCCTTTAATACCCAAGCAACCAGCCAGTTCAGCATCTATCAGTGTAACGTCTGAACCGTTATCCAACAATGCATAAGTCTCTACTGAAGATTTCTGTCCTTTCACCCTAACTGGTAATACCCCTAAGAAAACTTGTGGGGTGTCAAGGTGTCTAGAGATACTATTACAATTAACCGGATTCCCGGGTTCGTTCACTGTCCTCAGAAGTGGGTGCATATCTGTTAAACCACTACTTCTTTTATTTGTCGCCTTACAATTCCACTTTGTATGCCCAATCTTTAAACAACTGAAGCACAGCCGCTTCTGCTTTGCCATTTTTAACCTTTCTACGGGTGACATAGCGGTAAAGCGATCACAATCACTCAATTGATGCATGTTATGGCAAACAATACACTCATCCTTTCTCGTTGTGTCTTGAGACTTCACCACTAATGCCTTCCTTATATTCACTGGTTCCTTAGGTTCTAACTTAGAATGCAAAATGCTGGAGAATTCGCCCATCGCCTGGTTGACACTGTCCTTCACCAGTCTCAGAATATCATCAAACCTTGGCCCGATACCCTCATCCTCTATACGAGAGCTTATCTTCACCCACTTCCTTTGCAGTTGAGTAGGTAGGAGTCTCGCTATTACTTCTAGTATAAAACTCGAGTTGAGGTCATTCATGCAATTCATAGAAATCAAGGTATTCTTATAAGTCATAAGATTATCTAAAAACTCAGTAAGTGCCTTGGAGTCATCTTGAAGTTGACTGCCGTTACCTTTAACAGCTTCGTATACGTTCCTTACAATCATTGATGGTCTTCCAAACCTTTGACGTAATATGCTCATAGCCTCACCGTAGCCCTCTTTCGGCTTCATAAACTCACAACACTGTATAGCTCTTGCAGCAATTCCAGTGCAATACCTCATCAAATACATTAACTTCAATTCATCACTTAATAAAAAACTACTCAGCATTATCTCAAACTCCTTTACAAATTGTAAATAATCAGCCGGGTTTCCGTCGAAACACCGTGGTTCAAATTTAGTGAGTTTGATGTTCCTATTATCCCTGAACGGCGAAACAGTAACATCAACCATGTCATACTTAACATCAGACACATCGTTACAAGTAACAGACAAGTCACCATGACTTACTTTCCTGTTTGCATCCAAGACGCTCTGTCCCTTCTTTGACCAAGTCATTGTTGAACTTGACCCAATTCATAAAATGTTCCAGATACTGCTTGTTCAAAGAGGACTTGACCGGCACCAGGAAAGATGGACGTTGACTATCCAAACTTTCACCAACTGTTTGAATCCACCAGAATCTGTTTCCACCGTCAGAAACTGTCAGCCACGTCTCGTAAACCGTTAATGCCCAGCTCTTGCTACGCTCGAGCTCACGCTGTCCCTTGAAGTTTCTCAGAAACGCTTAGTAATTACGGACGAAAAAACCAAAACACCAATTGTTGACTCGAGTATTCTTTATTGTTACACCAACATATAAATGATATATGACTAAGGTCTGTGAACAAATAATAATAATAATTTTATTTTCATATAAACATAAATTTACATGAAAATGCATGCCATTTTTACAGGCACGATCAATTATTTTATAATGTCAAATCTTAAATTGTCTACAAGTTAATAATGTTTCAACAGTTAAATATTTGATATATATATATATAATAAATATTACAATAATAAATCACAATATTACTTCTGACGGTTGTCTCCTGACTTCTTTCTGAACAGCGACCGATGAGACGATGACTGTCGTATTGATGCCTCCGCGAAAATTGGGGAAGTTGGTTTTGAGCAAACAACCATGAATTGATCGTTCAATCTTCAACTACATTGACAGGCTCACTACTGATGCGTGGCTATCAGTCCTGCTGGACTTGAGTTACAACCATGCTACATGCTGACTCTTTATCTTGGCCCAACTAACTCGGTGTTGATGCCGCTCTCAACACGACCCCACAAGATAAAGTAGAATACAACGCTGCTGGTGACAGTTGTGTTCACTGAAGATAAATTGAAGGCGGTGTAAAAATGGATAATCACACAACCACGAGGCTGTCGAACTCTTGTCCCCTGGAAATTTTACTTTACATTATTTGTTCCAGTCCGCACGGATAAACAGATTGATCGTTGACGGTGAAACAGTTGAGGTTCAACTGAGCCGACGGACTTCCTTGACCCCCGACAACATATCACAGAATAAGTTAGGGCGAACTCAATAAATGCGTGAATCACCCATGTGACGTAATCAAAGCACATGCGATAATGCACTTTGCACACAAGAGGCTAGGAGCACTCACTTTTAGGCTTCTGAGAAAACATAAAACAGGTGTGCGGACACGTTCTGAGGTGAATAATATCTTCGCTTCCTTGCAGCAAACAATACAACCTACCGGAATGCAGTCACTCTATAGCCACATATGACGTGGTAGCCGAACACAGTAATCAAAATAAGCGAATCATTAACCACATTAACCGCCACACAAACAGGCGACCAACTTTATAGAAACAAAACAAGCTACGCTACTGAGAAACCTCTGGATACCATTATATGATATTTAAACTTGCCGCTTCCCTCAGTAAACTTCCGATTTGTACATCCTCATTAACTAAAAGTAGCACCGGCCTCTTAGAAAAGGCCTAGGAAAGGGAGAAGCAGGATGCCATAGGCCTTCTAGATGGACTATATGATGAGAGGCAAGAGAAACTAATACCTTGAGCTCTCCCATCCGCAGTCGAGTCATTACGAACTCTCACCACCAACCATACGGAGTGCCGATATAGGGTTGAGAATAGAGTGCTCTCCCTTTTCTTGACGCTTTCGGTTTGTAACCCTGCGCACTATTGGCCTCGGTTTATGAAATTTCGGCGGAAAGCGTTGAGTTGAAGCTGGGTAACCATCCAGCATCTTAAGGACAACATTCAATTGGATTGTCCGCTCCGCCGAACTGTGATGTCAACTTCACAAACCGCACCATGTCAACGGGTGCCATCCAGACTCTCAAGTGACACCTGCCTTGTTTCTCCTGTCTTATTCAGCTGCTTACCATGTCTATTCACGCATCTGCCTTTTAACGGTCTTCTGTAATTTCCACTTTCTCCATTTCATTTTCCAAATTTACATAATCGCAGTCAATTTTATTTTAGGAGATGAAGGATGTTGGATTTTACGCTGTATGCTTTGTATACGGGTGCCAATTTCTACTCATCAAATCCCACTGAACATGTTCTACTGAGACAAGAGGCAAATCAAAATGCGACAGCTTGCCGTGTGGAGTGAATGCTTGACTGCGAATCTTCAGCTTAACAAGTAAACTCTGACAATAGAAGACAGAACCAAGTTTTAAGTGAAAAACAATGTAAAAAAGTAATTTCGGGGAACTTTTTACCACTGAAATATCATTTTAATTGTTGCCACTGAATATTGGACTTGGTGATGGACATTGTACTGAGCAAACTATACTTTTATTAAATCAACGAATCATAATTTGGCGATAAGCGGTTAGACAGATGTCGGACTTAAATAAACTCGTGAAGGAGATAGGTGAATTCTTCTGGACTTTGTAATCTTTCCTTAAGGCTTTGAAGTCGAACAACTGTGGGACCATGTGGAGCAGGAAAAAAACAACATAACTGGTAGTGTTGCATGGTGAATAATTGCATTTCTCTAGAACTTCAACGGAAGCTCCTATCGCTAACACAAGAAGCCGAGTCTCAAAAGAAAGCCAAACAACAGCTAGAAGAAGAACTAAGGAGTTTGGAGAGTGCCTATTTCCAACCAAACGTGCATAATGAGTGGGTTTTTGTGTGAATGTTCCTTAACACGTCAGTCCTTCCAATTTAGGTGAAAGAATAAAGGAGCAGATCCAGTATCTGGATTCTGTTTCAACTGAAATCGAATCATGCAATGAGCGGTTCAAGTGCGTTTATTTCTGTTTTATGGCTTGAATGGATGCACTATCAGTGCTCAACCCTCTGGGTAGTGCCTAGTCCCTTATGTATAAAGTTCCGCCTATTTTCTGTGTTTTACAGATTATGTAGTTGTTTGCGGTCATGCTTTTACTAGGATGGGGAAGTCTAAGTCTTTAAACCTCTTTGAACCCTGACTAGGTTTCTCTTTTAGGGAACTCCACCTCAAGAACTCGTTTCTGTGACAGTGCAGATTCGAAATGATAAGTGCGTCGGTGGCACAGTGGTTAGGACTCTCGCTTACCATGCACATGATCCGAGGTTCGACCCCTCCCGACGCACACCTGATATCTACGGTCGGCCTGCAAAATTTAGGCTACCGATATCCATACTGAAAATTCCATACTTGTACCGGAAATACAGTGTGGAATCAAGCTGTAATCAGCAATAAAATTTAAAAAAGAATAAATGAACCCGGTAGGAGTAATAAACGTCTACAGTTTCGGCTGAAAATCCTATTGTCTCACTTGTCTGCTTGACATAAACTAGCGGGCGCATGTCTGTCACTGAATGGACATTTATTGTCGTCGTAATTCACATTAAAAGGAAAGCAACAACTACTTAATAAGTATTGTATAGGTGGCATTCTAGGTGTTGTTGAATAGAAACTCTTGTGTATGTACCTAATAGTGGTCTCCAGAATTTCACTTACGTGTTTACTCTAGTCAGTCGGTAAAAATTTGCATGCGATATCAAGCAACTGCAGACTCTTTATACCCATTTCTGGATGGGATGCAGTTTCCGATGTTAACGTGCTACATACTTTAAACCCTGTGGCTGCCATAATGATATGTAATTAATGCACCTTAGGTGTTATGATTACGAAGAGGAGTAGTGTGTGAGTTTATTCTTCATATGCTAATATGTTGGTCGTATTGACCTCATAAGAATATTTATTTTTTTTGTTAGAAAAAAACGAAGTGATTTACTTTCGGAATGCAAATTAAAGTTAGAGGAGTATGACAAGCACATAGCGCAAAATGAAAAATTACGTGCCTTCATTGAATTATGGAAGGCTAAGTGTGGTGATAATTTCAGACTAGATGGTAAGTCATTGTTTCATTACTTACCGCTACTTAAGTTATTCCTGATGTGATCAGACAAACGTAAGTTTCCTGAAAATCATTCATTACACTCAGCAGTGTCAAAGATTTATCTGGTTTTTATGAGACACCTCTGGCACAGACGATAGAGAATATGATTAACGTTTGCACAGTTAGTTATGCAATTTTTATCTAGACTTGTAGATAGAGAATGAAGAAGCACAGAGAAGTGTCACCAAACTGACGCCAGCGGAAAGTGAAGGTCAAGGTTTAGAGCTTCACAAGGAATTAAAACCGAATGGCACATCGTGCGACGGTCAGCTCAACCTTTCAATTGATCTTGATGCCCAAATACAGGGGTCCAATGCTTTGGATGCCAGCCGCTTACGGATGTCTGCACTTGATACCAGTGTCATGCCTGCACTATGCAGAAAAGAAAGTAAGTCCTTTTTAGGAGAATTATTCTCTTTAATAGATTTGGTTAGCGTTATTGAAAAATGGGGTTTATCTTGTCATGTATGAGCGCAATAAATTTTGGACTGTTTAATCACTTCTTTTTACAAATCCTATACATGTGTAGTATGCATCCCTCTTAGGTTTTACGTCTTGGAAGCTGTTGTGATATCAGTCTGGTAATTCACATAAATTGTTTTTCTATAGACAGAGCGGGCAGTCAACCACCTGTGTTTATGGAGGTTTGTAGTTCACTTGTTTTTCAAGCCATTTGGGTTTATGCTCCCCCATCCTACGTGCAAAGTGCGACTAATTTTGTGTCCACACACATGAATAGTGTGCAATTTGAGATCTAATTTAATAACTTGTGCATTGTTGAGGATTTCGGCAGAGGATCTTGGGATTTTCCGGTCATTACAAACCGGGCTACATCGTGAGTTTAACGGATTTCAGAATTTAATCCGTAACTTAAGACCACACTATTTATTTCCCCATTGTATTTCAATTTGATAGAAGCATCTTTCTTCCCTCACCTGTTTGCTATCCTATACGCCGGTTCAAAAGATGTCTGTTCTCGATAAACTCATCGGGAAATATTTTATTGTCATCACTTACTACGTCAACTGTACATACGTACTGAATGTTCTTCAACATATATCTTAACAGTCTTGTCATAGATTGCACTAAAATATTTGACGATTTAGTATCCTGTGCACGTATGTGCTTTATAAATGGATCACTTTGTTGGACTTTACTCTCTATGACTCAAAAGAATATCTTTAGAACCAGTCGGATGTTGACATTCCAAACCTTTATGAATTGCATAAGATTCAGAAAATCGAGTCTGATACATCCATTTCTGTCATCAGTGTGCCATTCTTCCACATATTAGTTGGCAAAATAACTAGCATACTTTTTAAACTATCCTCAAATAATGTAAGTTTTCTTTGAAAGTTACTTTAGGACTTCTTGATTGTTTTATTGACATGAACATAAAAGAAAATGCAATTCTTATGTTAACTGTTTACTAACGTACCTGTAATCATGACTTGATATTCTCTCTGATAATATATCCCTAAGTGACCTTTCATTAACTAATCCTCCAACATATTTGAAATACTTAATGTGATTGCTTACTGAATATGTTCACTTTGTTTTTGAATGTGAGCAACTTCGGAAAAGGGGCTAGCATTGTTATGATGAGTACATTAAGCCAAATATTGACTGATGTCATACGCTGAAAGTCTAGATGGTGCTTTTTTCCAGGAGACACGTTGATAATATCACCATATGCGATAGGCAGGAAGACTAGACATGTCTAGTAGGTAGAGTCAGCACCTTAAAAACTCACAACAGCCTAACACGTGGGCAGAGAAGTTGCAGTCAAATCGCACTTTTAGACATACTTTCGATTCACACTGATTATCCCCTTCTTTTGAATCCCCTGATACTTTGTTTATTTAATGAGACATTTCAATCTTTGTATAAATTCAATAGATAAATATGTCGTCACATCACTAGGATTGTATTGCGCAGATACATCGCATATTTCAGACAAACGTTTTTGGCAACGGTTTGTTTTATATCATTGAAACACTTATGGCTTACAGAAATGCTTTGGTGCCCATTACAGCCAACATAGCTTGTTGGGTCTTAACGATGCGCGAACCTGACCAACTAAATCGAAATGTTGTAAACACCGGACAATCGTTTCGCATGTTTCGGTACTAGCTCATCAGTGGTGTACTAAGTTTCACTCTCAGCACAGAGAGTCGAATCAAGTTCATTACCATATTTGTATACTAATTAATCGTTATAAAAAACTCCGGATGTAGACTTACCACGGAATCAAGCATGAAAGCCTTGTGACTTTGATTTCCAGTTTTCTTAAGATAATGCAGGAATGAAAATATGTACAGTAAAGAATTAGGGACGAACCTTATTTCCTGATGTAGAGAATTATGAAGTGATAAGGTTATTTTATTATTTAGACCAATCTCGATATTTGGGAAACATAGGGACTGAGCGAAGAAATAATTACTTTTCAATTAGATCCTCATCTCTGGCTCTATATACCAATCAAGTGGTGGTATGTTTGTTTGAATGACACAATTTCGGAGAAATGAACAGTAATTAAGGAACAAGCGAGTGCTCAAGTTCGTTACATAACAGATCAATGAATAAAATAAAACTGTTTGGACAGTGATAACATGCAATTAAAGATGAAGTAGTTAGAAAAATAATAAAAAAAATTTGGACAATCTTAATTTTCAAAGGGGAAGGGGAGGGCGAAGTAGTTAGGTAGTTAGTCATGTAACGATGACCAAGGTAAGAAAAGTGGCTGTACACATTTTATTTTCTCCACACAAATTTAGCTTCTTCAGGTGGATTTCTTTGGCTTCAGCTGTATAAAGAAGACGAACTCGTAAAGCAAAATTAAGATTAGTAGGCGTTGGATAAATAACTTTAAGTGGTGTATTAAAATCAACTTTATGATCACTATCTGCAAGGTGTACTGAAACAGAGTTACGAAAAGATCTTGTTTGTCCCTTGCTTAACCGTGTTGGATGATGTTCGGAAATATAATGATGAACCTGTCTAATTGTACACCTAATGTGGCTGACTGCACAGCTGCAGTCAAACTGGTAGATACACAAATAGAAGAGGCAAATTTAGGTAGTTTATCCTTATTTCTTGAAAATAGAATAGTGGTGGTTGTGAAGAGACAACGTACCTCTGCTGCATTGAAAGCTCTTTTAATTGCATTCTTCAGGCGCTGTGTTGTTATTTCGCTGATGTTGTCGTCGAGGAACTTCAGTTTTGTGAGAAATGGTTTTTATGGAGCTATCGTCATACTTACTCTTCGAGGTGCTAAATTCATATTTTTCTCAATGATCTTATATGGAAAACCATTTTTCTTAAGTAATTCTGTTATAATCTTAGGCTTCTTATTTTGAGGAGGCATCTGAACGGATTATCCTAGCTCCTTGAACCAAACACTTTACTAAGTTACATTCATATATAAAAGGTGCAAAACTCAGAAAATGAGTGTACTGACCTGTTGTTGTAGGTTTCCTAAACACACTCCTTTTTATGTCATTTTCCTTGCAAGGAAGACTTCTAACAATGAGATACTGTCATTACTTTCCTTCTCTATGGTGAAGTTTATTGCTGAATGCGCATCATGGAACGTATTGAAGATGTTCATTGCTTCATTCTTGTCTTTCATAACCAGAAACTATCATCCACATATCGACAGTAAAAATCCAGCTCATTAATTACTCCTTTCAGCGGCTTACTCTCTAACAACTTTTTGAATTAACTTACTTTCACGTGTACTTGTCTACTGTTTGCCTTCACCGATAGACTACACAAACGTTTTCGGCAGTTAATTTAGTGTGAGACAAGGATTTTCTTGACTCTTTATTAAAATTAAGACATTCAGGAATACTACGCAACTACGGCAAAGTAATAATGCTGGCTAGAATGTTGAGGTGAAAAAGTCGCTTCATGCATCAACCATATCAAGGGAGGAAACAAAGACAAAATTATTACTGATGGGATGTCAATCACCTGCGAATATTACTGCGGATGAGTAGTTGTCAAGGCAACACTAGGCAACTCTTTAGACTCATCAGGGAAACGGGTGGGAGAAGGCAAGAAGTGAGACTATTTCTAAGAAAAATGGCTCCTTAATTAGCTCTCAGGATAGACGCCTTGAACGCTGGAAAGAACACTTTGAGGGACAATTTAACTTGCATACAGCCACACTGAACCTCCCCGACATCCAGCACACACCCGAATGGCATATAGACACTGATCTGGCGTCTGTAAGTGAGGTCACAAAAGCTATCTGTAATTTGAAACGAGGCAAAGCGGCAGGATCCGACGGAATTATTCCAGAGGTGTTTAAATATGGGGGTGACATACTAGTTTGTAGATTAACTAAGGTAATACGCAAAGTCTGGGAATCAGAGACGGTTCCATCAGACTGGGGTAAGTCACTTATACCGATATTCAAGAAGGGGTACAAGTCCTCGTGTTATAATCATAGGGGGATCAGCCTAACGAACATAGTTTCTAAAATCCTAGGCTCAGTAATCATGCATAGACTAAGCAGAACTCCGGAGGAACAGACGAGGGAAAATCAAGCAGGCTTTAGACCAGGTAGAGGGTGCATAGATCATATCTTCACTCTTCGACAGATTCTAGAACATAGACACACTTTTCGGCGTCCAACAATTGCCATATTTCTTGACTTGAAGGCGGCCTTCGACTCCGTGGATCGAAAGGTACTATGGCAATGTCTGACTGTGAAGGGAGTGCCAAGAAAGTACATCGCACTAATTAAGGCACTCTATTCAAACTCACGTAGTCGTGTAAGGGCTTATGGGGAATTGTCATCTGAATTGGTAACAACCAGTGGTGTCCGACAGGGATGTCCACTCTCCCCATTTCTGTTTAACTTCATCATAGATATGCTGATGGAAGTATCCTTAACTGAACTTAACGACTTAGGAATCGACTTGTTACCAGGGAATAGTCTTATGGACTTAGAATATGCAGATGACATAGTCCTGTTAGGGGAGGATGCTGACAAAATGCAGAGTCTTCTGAACACCTTGAACAGCAATCTTCGTATGTTTGGCATGCGATTCGCCCCTGTAAAATATAAGATGCTGCTACAGGACTGGACTACGTCCTAGCTCCTAGCTTAGTGATAGGGGGGAGTGAAGTGATAGAACATGTTGACCACTTCACCTATTTGGGAAGTTGTATCAGCACCAACGGACTGATTGGTGACGAAATCTCAGCACGGATATAAAAAGCTCGAGCTGCTTTCGCTGACTAACATCATCTCTGGCGTAGGCGTGACATCCGGCTATCAACCAAGGGACGTGTGTACTGCTCAACGGTTCGCTCCGTCCTTCTCTATGGGTCTGAAACATGGCCAATACGAGTTGAAGACATGAAAAGGTTGACTGTTTTTGATCATAGATGTCTACGATCTTTTTCTCACATTAGGTAGTATAATAAGGTAAGTAATGTTGGCGTTAGGCGTAGAGTGTTGGGCAAAGAGGGAAAATCAATCAACACCTCTGCTCACTGTTTCGATTATGCTTTTCTTGTACTTTCTTCTCTTGCTTCGCGTGCTACACGGAGTGTGGCGACTTGAACTTCCGCACATTTGTGCAAAGTTCTATGTCGAAAACAGACAAACATGAAGTTACATAGATTGAGATGGCTAGGTCACATGGTGCGCATGCCTAACCATCGCCTCCCCCAACGGGCATTACTAGCTGATATAGGTGCAGGTTGGAAAAGAGTAAGTGGTGACCAAAGAAAAACATGGCATTAATCCATGAAATCCTTGACAGTTGTCAGTGGCGCAGATGTATTCAGTCTCTGAAATCTTTCATATTCCTTTCTACCATTACCCATTCTGTTTCACTCTTATACTTGTCAAACTCTATTAATTCTCTTCACTCATCTTCTTGTCTACCTTTGTGTGCTATTTGGAAGGTGGCAACTCGAACTGCTGCACTTCGGTGCCAAGTTCTATGTTGAATCCAGACAGGCATAAATCGTATTTGTGTTAGTAAAGACAAATGACATTGCTACATGGTTATAGCGTGTGTATAACTTTCTGTGCACAATATTTTAACGGTTTATAACTTCTACGTTATCCTCATTTGTTATTCTCCTTCAGGCTGTAAAACTGATGAAAACGTGGACAATCAAGATTGCACAATGAACATGGATATGACAGTCTGTGGAAATAATGATACAACATCCTATTAAACTGCTTACCAATCAAGTGTGTTCACATTTTATCGGGTGTTCTGCATTTATCTTTAATTTAAAAAAAAATGAGTTTTTTTATACTGAAGTCTTTAATTTTTATCTGCAGCATGCAACACCGGTTATTTGATTTCATTATGTACTAAATCCTTTGTTGATACTAAATATTGAGACCAACATTGTAGGTAACCGCAGGCATTGTAGGATTTTGTCATGTTAGCTTGCATATTGTCCAGAGTGAGTGCTATTTTTAATGTTGAAGTAGCGTAAGTTGTATACGCATGAGAGTGTAAAGTTGATGAATTATTATGGTAGTGATTTTGGATCACTTTGATTCCTTACTGGTCACTACAAAATTCCTCCATATGGGATCCTGTTTTAATCAACTAAATCCCCGCTTACTTCTCGTGTTAGCACTTTCATGTGCATTGTGTAATGAAAAACATATCAAGTGGTTCATTGGAAAGACCCATTTTCGTAATTTCATTTTATTCAGTTGTGCAATTTCGTTTTACGAAAGAGGATAGTAACCAAAAATATGAATTGTCATAAGCGTAGTTGGTGGTATTAATCATCACGTAATAATAATAATAATTTGCTTTATTCCAAAAACAGTACTAGTGGTACAGTGTGGAATTTTCAGCACTTATCTACAGTATCGCATCTGATTTTATCAAACATTTAAAAGGAGTATTTCAAAGAATAAATATAAAAAACGACAACAAAAATGCAAAAAAATACCAAGTAGAATGGAAAGTAAACAACATGATAAATATCTCAATATTGGGTAGTGGAAGCTATGGTATGTTTATCCGTGGTGAAACAGTAAAACTATATCATACAAAAAGTTATGAAATGATATTAAGAATGTTTATAGCATGATCAGTTAATTTGATTGAACAACACTAAACAATCATAAAATAACATCAGTAAAAAGTTTGAGCATTGTGGATTAGATCAAATAAAGCATAATTATATTTCAATAGTTTACACACAATGAATGTTTGGCATGCGATTCGCTCCCGCCAAATGCAAGATGATGTTACAGGACTGGACTACAGCGACGCCTAGTTTAAAAATAGGAAGTGAAGTGGTAGAGCACGTTGACCGCTTCACTTATTTGGGAAGTACCATCAGCCAGTGCCAACGGGCTGATCTCTGACGAAATCTCAGCACGAATACAAGGGGCTCGTTTCGCATTTGTCAGTTTACGCCGACTCTGGCGTAGACGAGATGTTCGACTATCGACCAAAGGGCGGGTGTACTGCTCATCAGTCCGCTCCGTCCTCCTTTATGGTTGTGAGACCTGGTCACTGAGAGTGGAAGACATGAAAAGACTAGCTGTCTTTGATCATAGGTGCCTGCGTTCTATTTCCCGTGTAAAGTGGCATAATAAGGTGAGCAACATTGAGATTAGGCGTAGAGCTCTACGTAAACAGGGGAAATCAATCGACGAAGTCGTGAAGCTACAAAGACTGAGATGGTTAGGACATGTGTTACGTATGCCAAGCCATCGCCTCCCTCGACGAGCTATGTTAGCGGATATAGGGTCAGGCTGGAAAAAAGCTAGCGGCGGTCAAACAAAAACTTGGCATCAGTCAATGAAATCCACAACAGTTGGTCTAAGCCACGTAGAAAGGTGTAGACTTCCAGGCTGGGGTCCTCGGGACGGTAAAACTCTATGGTTGGAAACAATTGGTGACATGGCTCAAAACCGTTCTCAGTGGCGCAGATGCATCCACTCCCTGTGACTTATGATCTTCAATGAAACTGTTTTGTATTTCTTTATTACTCCTTTGTCTCACACCTCTGCTCACTGTTTCTATTATGCTTTTCTTGTACTTTCTTCTCTTGCTTCGCGTGCTACACGGAATGTGGAGACTTGAACTTCCGCACATTTGTGCAAAGTTCTATGTCGAAAACAGACAGACACACAATGATAAGTTTTGTTATTGATAATATTTCGAGCAAAATTACTACTCATGTTCAGTGTAATGAAAATAATACGGTTACCAAGGAAGTGAGAGACTGACTACTCACTCTGTCTCTCTCTTTCTGTGTTCATAAATTTGGTTTGAGACGCTTGATTGCTGTAATTGCTTGAGAAAATCGTATGCTTAATATTTTTAAGGATTTGGGAGTCTCGACAGAATGACCCTTATCCACAAGGTGGGTGTCTGGTTATTGCATTGTGTAACAGTGGTGTGAACACGGGCAGTAATTTCGCTCGAAATATTACCAATAACAAAACTTATCATTGTGTGTAAACTACTGAAATATGATTATACTTTATTTCATAAAATAACATTTCAGGTTTTTTTTATTGTCAGCTCTGATGTGGTGTCTGTAGTGGTAGTGTGAGTAATCCTGCATAATACAAAATATTTTAAGATTGTGATAATGGCGTTCACAACCAAGATTGTCAGTTAATATTGCCGAACCAAAAAAACAACCACAAAACTAATATTACATGAAGGTTAATGACAGGACAATTTTGAAATACTCATAGTGTTAAAGTAGTTGGAACCAGTTGATACACAAAAGAAGGAATAGAGTACAAAAAAGTAAGCCAATGTTAATAATTTAGGTAACTAAATGTTTAAGAAGGTGTTCACTATAGAATACAAATAAGAGAGAATAAGGGAGAAATAAAAGAGCCAAAATTATGTTATTAACAACAAAGCAAGTCGTAGGTTTCGCGCTGAACATTGTCTCTGTCACTTAGAACGCGGACCAAATATGGTATCGTTGAGTTCCTGTACTTGGTTATACGAGCATATATTTTTTTGTACAGATTTCTGGTTCTACTTGATGGGATACAAGGAGAAAGTTAGGAATAGAGGGGTGCTGAGAGTCGGAGAGTATAGTTTTAGACCATTTTTCGCATGTATTCAGATGCCTCTTTACCAGTGTAGTGACGAGCTAACTGAGTTTTACACCACTAGTTCTACTAACTACCTTCAACATCCTTCTCAGGATGGTATAGTACTTTTTCAGTAGCCCAGGAAAGACTTACGGGGAGCAGTAAAGTAGAATAGGTAAGATACAAGAGTTGACAAATTGTGAAAGTAGAGATTGGGTGATTCCAGATAGTCTAAGTTTCTTAATGTAGTAGGTTAGACAGAACACTTTCTTAGAAATCGTTTGGATATGAGATGACCAAGTAAGGTCGGAAGATAGAACTAATCCGAGGTATTTTGCATTAGACTTGGTTTCAATTTTAGTCCCCTCAACGCTGCAGGCTTCACTGAGTGCTTACTAGTGTTTGTACATCTCGTTTATGCCTAAAAGAGAAGTCAGTAGTCTGACATTTTGAGGGATTCAGCAGAAGGTCATTGAGTTTAGAAGGCTGGCAAGCCATTTAGTTTGAAGCAGTCTGACTGAGACTTAACCGGAAGCGAAACAGTCAGGTCATCTGCATATTTGACGAAGTTGATTTCGTCTGAAAAAGGTAAGTCATGTAAGTAGAAGGGAAAAAGAAACGGAGAGAGAAGTTGGATGAGAGTGATGGAGTTACGTAGTGAGGTGAGTAATTTAATCAGTGAGTTATAATCAGGATGCACGTAGAAACTAAAAAAATATGATACTACGTAATTGTAAAAAAATTAGATGTAAGTTTTAAGTCCTTACAATAACAGTAGAAATGATGGGTGAATTCTCTTATGTACGCGGGACTGCAGTCTTTTTGTCTGCATGGTTACAGCCTCAGTACAGCTAAGAAAGTGAAACCGTATTGCCTTCCATGGGTCGCCCTTCACCTTGAAGGAGGAATGTATTGAGATGGACTGATGAGTTTCAACAAGCTGTTCAATTGTAGTACTATTTGTGCAGCCGCTGCTTTTATTGCAATATGGACAAGATTTAATTTGATAAAATGTCACAGTAATATTAACTAATGACGTTTCGAGCACAAATTATTGCCACTCATAGTCATATCAAGTTACTCACTCACACAACTTTTTCCTTCATTTATATACAACATGTGTGGAATCGATTAGCTATTGGAATAAAACTCAATATAGGATAATGTACATTCAGAAATAATAATATGAGTGTTATTGATCAAATACAATCAGATGGGAAATAAGACAAGTGTTTTTGTAGTCATAATAAGTAACTTGTTAAAATGTTGTCGTGTGCTTGAATTGAAATAGAATTTCGAAATTATTTATTATCCTCCTCTCATTTGACTGACTTACTGGTGGTAATAATATCTTCCATGCATATCTCTGGTATTTGCATTGAGTCATTACTGTTGCATGTGTTGGGTGTAGACTCAATGAGCCAGCCAGGATTCAGTAATCAATCTCTCTCTATCTCCACCTACCTATATTACTTCCTAGAATCTCAACTCTCTCACACCCACCCTATTGTGTGTTGATACATGTAGAGCGATTGCTGAGCTTTTTTCTAAATTACTTATCTTCTCGGGGTCAACCAATCTTACCTTAGCCAAATTCTTATGTTCCACCAATCTGATTACCCCCTGATCTACTAGTTTGGCATCCACCCGGGTCTTTTATCCTGCAGAGCTTGTATCTGAGTGAGTTTGTAGGTTTGAATGCCACCCTAATTCCTGCTTTGTTAAGAATTTTACGTAGTGAGTGTCTCGGATGTCCCCTCTTTATATGGTATAACTGTGGATGACTTGTATTCTTTCTTATTTATGTTATTATTACTAGTTTCACAATTAATTTTATTTTTTTTTGGCCTTTAATGATCTTCCTAATGAATTTTATGGGATAGTTATTCAACACCAACGCTTCTTCTATCTGTTTTATTTCATCATTTAGGTCTCTTTTGTGCTACTTAGTGTTACTTCTCGGTTTGTTAAACACTTACCTTAGCCCATACTTTCTGCTTTTCCCTTTTTCCAAGAATATTCGCTTAACTATTCTTGTATATATATAGTCAATCATTAAAACAGGTAATACTTTCACTTAATTGAACTATTTTGTTGGCTTGTGTTAACCTATAGTTCCCACACAACTAACTGACTT